CCCCCCCCCGGTCTCCCGGGCCGGCTTCCGCGGTCGCCATGACGGCGGCCGTGTTCTTCGGCTGCGCCTTCATTGCCTTCGGGCCTGCGCTCGCCCTCTATATCTTCACCATCGCCACCGAGCCGTTGCGCGTCATCTTCCTCATCGTCGGGTGAGGCGGTAGCGTCGGGACACCCGGACCCGGGATTCCCCTCCCCCGCCACCTCATCGAAGGGTTCGACCTTGTTGGGCTTTGGAGGGAGAAGGGTTGGAGAGGGGCGAAACGAGACCCGCTGCCTTCGGACTCCTCGCCCTCCCCCGAGGGGCAGCGGGAAAAGAGCGAGTGCCCCGCGACCCCACAGGGTGGGCTCTGGGGAAAGGAGCTGGCACTGTGGGTCTCAGAAAGCCCTGATGCTTGGCTCCTGAGTTTTTGCCTGGGGCCCGTGGGTCGCTAGTTTCCATCTGATTTTCATAGGCATCCGTAACCTTAAAGGAATTAAGAGCCATTTGCACCTGGGGATCAGGTGCTTTAAAACATACTGACGCACAACTTCAGCCCCAGATAAACTGAATCGGAATGTTTAGGTGTTGAGATTCCGGCTGCGGATTTTAGTTTTAAATTAAAGCTCCCCAGCTAATTAAGTTGTGCAGGCAAAGGGTGGCAACCTGTGAAAACACCGAAGCACCTGTCGGTGCATCACCTTGCAGGAGCGTGGTAAACACCGAACTCTGGTGGTTGAATGTGGTCCTAATCCCAGTTTTCACCTGTCTGACAGCTCTTACTGGAGCTTTCCACGTCCGCCTGCACTCTTCAGTCTTAACTTGGCACCCGAGAAACAGCAAGGTTAGGCTAATCATTCACACCTTTTCATAGCTTGTTCGCCTCTCACAACTGTATTGAAGTGCTGCATCACATGTGTCGTTTAATTTAAAAAACAACAGGGATTTGAGCAAAAGGTTTGTAAAACTTGTTATAATCATGAAAATCTACAGGAATGCTGTGAAACCCAGGCTTGGGAGACTGATCTTGATCAGAACACAGGTTTTCAATCTCCGGGTTTTATACCAGTCACTCTGTTAATAGAAATGTAGACTTTTTTCTGGAAAAGACACATATTTGTACATCAATGGGCAAAGCATTAATTAGGAAGAGTAGCAAATAACCAAGTTTCCAGCTAGACAGTCCTGGACAGATAGTTTGCAAATGAACTTACAAATAGTGGGATAGCTGAAAAAGACTGATTGTTAGGGTGAAAAAAATCTAAAATTCCTTTTGGACTACATGTTCATTGCCAGGGAAAATGCATCCTCGATTAACAACAGTTGATCAGTGCATCACTTTATGAAGACTTTTTTCTTCCTTATTAAAGAGTCAGGAAATTTGTCCCTTCTCAAGCAAGTTTTTTTCTCTTTTAAATCATTGTGCGTTTGTAACTTTTTTCCCCTAATTTTCAGAGCTTTCTTCTGGTTGGTGTCTCTGCTGTTTTCCTCCTTTGTTTGGTTCATGGCAGGAACCATTACCAACAACAAAGATGGGCCAGTGCAGAAATACATGCTGATCTTTGGAGTGTTAGTCTCAGTCCTTATTCAAGAAATGTTCCGGTTTGCATATTATAAACTTTTAAAGTAAGTTATATATTTCCTTTACCTTTTTCCTCCAGTTATATTCTAATTATGATTTGGTAGTTTGAAGCATTAATATAGTGTGGTATTTAAGAGTCCATGCCTTCTTACTTAGTTTGAAGCCAAGTGGTTATACATTTTCAGCCTGAAATTATTGAGTAATTTAACTTGTGGGCATTACTTCCTTCAAAAAGTAATTCAAAAATTACTAATTCAAAAAATATTTCTTGAGAATTTACTTAATACCAGGCACTCTCTTAGGCACTGGGGATGCCTCATGATTAAAAGACAGTGTCTGTCCTCATGGAGGTTATATTATAGCAGAAAGAGACACAGACAAGTGCATGAACAAGAAAATACATTGTATATGAGAAGGTAGTAAGTGCCATGGAGAAAAATAGAGAAACGGTCATTGAAACAATAGCAACAAAAACTTCCGTGGGTGATGGTTTCATGAATATAAACACTTGTTTATATTAATTCATTAAGTTGTACACCAGGATTTGTACATTTTATTGTATGTACCTAAAAATAAAGTGCTCCAGGTTAGAATTTATATGTGCTTCATTTTGCCACCACCTAAAATAAGTACTTCACACTGAGATTATGCCTACCAGTATTTTGACTGTATTGGGGGAAATCATCGGTTCTTTTTGGGATATGTCATGGGATTTCATGTCTGTAATTGAAAAGTACATTTTTATAAAAGCCATGAGCACAAGTTCCCTTTTTAGGTCAGAAAGAAGGTCATCTGTAGGATACGTGAGGACCTCACATGAAATCACTGATTTGAAATACAGCTGGAACTTGGAACCATGTTTTCTTTCAGGCAGTCATGAGGTTGGCTTTGATTATGTAGTGAGATTTACTTAGTGGAGTGATAAGTGTGCCATCTCTTCATTTCTGCAAATGAGATAATCAGGGAACTCCAGGAATGTCGTGGATGTAGCTAAGACAGAACCTCAACAACATCTCTTATAATAGGCTTCTGACAATTTATTCTTGCCAATATGGTAGGCCTTCTGTATTTTTTACTTTTTGCTTTCAATAACAGATACTGAAATTTAATAATGAGATTTAATTATAAATAGAAAATCAGGAAGCCATTGTTTAGAAGGAAAAGTTGTATCTTAGAAAAGGTTTAAAAATGAAAATTCCATTAGTTCTTGGAAATACTAAAGAGCAGCAAACAAGTACCAAAGATAACATTAAGTTTCCTCGGGAATGCAATAGCCTTAGCAGATGGACATTCAGCTGTGGTTGAATGTTTCTGGTCTGCGGCAATTACTACCATTCCAAAATTTAATTTTAACTGTAGAATATATTAAGGTAATCAAAATCTCCCTCTTTCTGAACTCTGTCGCACACAGGCAAATGAAATCTCTTAAATGGTTGTCATCTTGTCTCTTTCAAGGCAATTTCCTCATTTCCTCATTTCCTCATTTCTTCACCTGGCCCTCAGAAGACATGGAAGTGGCTTCCATATCTTTTCTGGTCTCTATAGTCAGTATACACACCCCTTTTTGTCAGTGCCTGGAGTTTACCTGTGGTTAGGACCCAGCCCAGAACTCCACTGTGATCAAAGTAATGAAGAGAGCAGACTCTTTACTTAGCCTCAGATTGCACTGGCTTTTCCTGTCAGCAGCATCATTGGCTCATGTTGGTTTTGCATTTTCACTTATGATAGCTCTAATTTTGAAACAAACTTAATTTCCAACAGATTTCACAGTTCAGGACATGGGTTTGGTAGCCCCTTAAGACTTCAGGTTCTAAATCCTGACTTAGTTGGAGTAGCTAAATGGATATTTTTTGTTCTTTACTACCTTGTTTCTTCACAGTTCCCACCTGAAATGAACCTTTGTGAGCATTAACCTATGATTCCCAAGTACTATAAGCTGAATGTGGGTTGGCGTTTTTAATGAGGGCAGTGAGAGAGTAGGGCCACAAACAGAAGGAATTACTGTCAGTCTGCAAGTTCTCAGGCCAGCAAGTTCAGAGGAGCTTCTGTGGCCTCCTGAGGAAAAACCATGTTTGCTCCTCTGAAAGGACCTTTGGAAATTTGCTAATAGCTACTAGGACAAAACTGTATTAATAGGTGCCATTGTTTGCTTTGCAAAATGCATTTTTAACAAGCCTTTGGGAACGTTATACAATATTTTCCTAGCAAATTTTAGAAATATTGGATGTTATGTAGTTATGTGTTGAAATAAGTTTGAGAATTATTATGATACTTCATTCATGACTAACATTTATATAGATACATGTAAGTTGCTGTCTTATGCTGCACTACATTCAAATTTAGGAACTTTGGTTTAAACAATATTTTAACTTTCTCCACTGTCAAAACAGGTTTTGAACTTTAAATTTCAACTACTGCTCAGTCTAACTTCTGGATCTGAATTTGGTGCCAAGATTAAAATGCAGTCTTTTTGGATATAGAATTGAATCAAAATGTTTATCATTGTAGTCTAATGCAAATTTATTTCATGGGTCAGGCCTTAGGAATAGTACTTCATCTTGAATGAATGAATGAATGAATGAATGAATTCAAACTTTGGCCTAGCAAAGAGCTGGACTGTAAGAAATTGGCATGTGGCCACAAGTAATGGCTCTTTCTATATTAATTAAAAAAAAAACAACTAAAAAACAGATCATGGTCCTATACATTGCCTAAAATATACATTAGAATATTTTTTGGCTTGGATTTAAGTCTGCAATTCAATTTTGTCTTATGCTGATACCAGAATATTTGCTAAGTTTAGAAAATTTTCAATTATAGAAAAAAATGTTAAGATAATCATTGCTGCAATTTCTTAAAAGGCATATGTCTACTTTTTAAAAATTCTAAAATGGTATGTTTACTTTATATGCATGTTCCTTGGTTCTGTCCCTCTCTTACCCATACATACAAAAAAAGAATCAGAACAAACAAGAAATATGGTTATGATTTATTGGTAGTTTTTCAAAGTTTACATTTTAAAAATTGGGCTTTTTCTTTTTGTTCTTGGAAACAATAATAAATGCAAACAAAGAATGTTCCACTTAAGTAAAATGGCCCAATTAAAAACATTGTCCCTTACATCATTAGTTTTGTGTCCTGTCCAACAGGAACATGGAAACTGTTGGTGTTTGTACTTTTTCACTTCATAATGTTAGCATTGAGAACTGTTAGTGCCATAAACCTCTCTTCCCACAAACCTGTAACATAGAATGAGGAAGTTTATTACATTTTTGAATTTATGTGTTTAATATATTTGTGATAGCAGTGACTTGCTGTGCCAAATAGCTAATATCTTTTATTCATTACTGAACAATTTATGTAAAACAAGTCCTCCAAAATTTCTCAAATCAATTATACCATTATATTCATTTGTGGATGGAGATTATTACGATTATATATTTCTCCAAGTTTTAATTAGCCTTTAACAACATTGCCCTGACTGGCAAGTTAATTTTATTTAGGAAAATTAGACATTTTAGGTTGGTTACTGCTCCAGAGAAAGAAGATGAAAGTTAGTTGTTTTGGCTCATGTCTTTGCTACCAAATGGTGAGCATTGTAATGGAAAATTGTTTCTTTTGAGTACAGGAAAGCAAAATACTTTTTTCATTACCCTTATTACTGTTTTGGTCAAATTTTGCATTGTCATAATTTAACATAACCTATGGTATTTATATTTATGTAATAAGTAGGCCAACTACAGCATAGTGAATGTGCATTCCTTGAAATTAACACATTACCCAGAATATAAGTATGTTTTACGTAATTTAATTTTCTACTCCTAGAGCCAACCGAACTCATTTTTGTTACAGCAGTTGCTGAAAAATCATTCTAAAATGTTTGGTTCTTTTATTGCTTTAATAAGTATGCCTTATAGTAAAAATATAATTTGCATATCCTTTGAATCAAGATCATTGTTGCAGAATTTCTAGCCAACAAGGGTTAGTAATAATGACAGTAGTGGAACTGATCGTCCACACCTTGCATTCCTAACACATCTGCATGGGGGGCAGGAACTCATGGTAAGTTTGTGAATTGTCCACAATGGAGGCATGGATATGATCATTCTGGTGATCATTTCTTATTGGGCAGTAGTCTAATGTTTCATTCAGGTATTCTTAATCTCCTTTTAATCTAGTTAACCTCCTTTTATGAGGGCATCATTTTATTCCTGATTATTTCTTCCCTGAAGTCTGGGGACATGAAACAAGTATTTTAGAATCAGACGCCCATATGATTATGTGCTCCTATGAGAGTTCAGATCATTAGTGTTGTAGGATTTAAGAGTAAGGAGACGTGAGTGATCACCAATTGTTGATAAAGCTGGTTTCTTGGAGAAATTGCTGTCTGAGCTAGATTTTGAAGCATGAGTGTAATTTAGGTTCTACAGAGTGGAAGGTAGAAGAGAAAGTGGCAAAACAGTGTAATTCAGGTGGAAGATGTAACAAAGGACCAACAAAAGTGGGATTGAAGATACATGCTTTGGGAAGAGGAAAAAATTCTGAGTGGTAGAGGCCATATGATACTAAATTAGACATTTACTGAGCTCAGAAAGTAGTCAGAAGTGTTACTCTTTTTCTTATTAAACTCATTCCCTGATGGCTTGTTTTCTTACATTTTTCTTTTCTATGCAAAGGTCAGATAAAGGCAAAAGTTGGTTGGAAATTTTGGTTGATTTTAGTTAATTGAAAATTTGCTTTGTTTTACTTAAATGGATTTTAGAATATAGCCTGATCAGAAGCCTCAGTAAGTATTTGGATTTTGAAATATCTTGTGTATTTGCCTGATACACTACATTTTCATTGAAAAAAAAATCTGTGTGATTTTATTTTAGAAAAGCCAATGAGGGTTTGAAGAGTATAAACCCAGACGAGACCGCACCCTCTATGCGATTGCTGGCCTATGGTAAATTAAAACTGTGTGCTGTCATTAAGAAAAAATTAGACTTGTAGATTTTATACAAGATTTTTCACAAACTTCATAGATTTCTTACAGTATTTTATTAGTTCCTTGGCCTGTTGGTGTACATTATTTCTTTTAGCTTTCCAGGGTACTTTATGATTGCAGGTGTCCCTTATCTGTGTGTCTGTTAAATATTAACCAGGTTTGAAAATTAGATTTTTAATATGTATACACTCTAGTTAACAATTTCTAAGTGATGTTACTGTTACCTTCTCTGGGTGGTTACCATGACTTTAGCTGTACCAGGAGGATCCTTCATCTTAATATAGTTAATACCTCTGCATAATTTTCTTTCAGAATTATGTTTTATTAAAGATGGGATATAAATTCTTGAGCTGAGTTCACCCCAATTTGTCCCAGGGATCAGTCCTTACAGTACTAAGTCACCCCTCAAGTTCAGTTCCAATTTTAAGCCATTAAATGTAATTCGACAAACTGTTAGAAAATAAACCCAAAGTTTCAGCATGATATCCATCTCTGTTCCACCTATTGCTTCTGTGCCTTCCTAGATGGTTTTCTCTCCTTTTAATTTCTCTGCTATGTTCCACTATTTATTTCCTTTCCTCTTCACCTCTTCTCTCTCAGTTCATCATTTAGCCAAGCTCTTGTCTTTTCTGAGCCAGCCACTTATCATGTGTAACTCTTCTCCTTCAACAAAATAGTATCTAGTTCTTGGAAATTTGATTTGAAGAGAAATTGTAGCATGAAAAGGATTTAACAGTGTTTTTCTTCCTCTTTAGTTTCTGGCCTGGGCTTTGGAATCATGAGTGGAGTGTTTTCCTTTGTAAATACTCTGTCTGACTCACTGGGGCCGGGCACGGTGGGCATTCATGGAGACTCTCCCCAGTTCTTCCTGAATTCAGGTATGTACCTGTTGACTGTGAATGTTGAAGCTTCTGGTCGAAATGATCACCCTTAATGGAGTTCCCTAGCTTAGGAATTGCCTTCTTCTAAAGGCAAAATACTGTTAGATACCAGAAGTAAAGGATCTAGAAAGTAAAAATTTTGGTCAAAGTATTTTAGAATTTGAATAGAATTTATCTTGCATAAAATTTACTTTTCTTTTACTGTAGTAATAATGTTGCTCTATAATTGATATATTACAAGTTAATTTTTATAGACTATTTGCTCTTTCTTAATTTTTTTAGTTTACATTTATCTTTAGTATAAGCCCTAATCTTTAATTAATTTATCTTGGCTGTATTTGGGAAAGGCAGGATAATTTAGTCTTGAAATTGAGGGGGAAAAATGTTCTTATTCAATGTGAAATGATGTCTGACATCTAAAAATGTATATTTAAATATATATGTATCATTTTCAAGAATAATAACCCTTTTTCCCTGTTACTGAAGAACTAGAACATTAGCAGAAACTAGAGTTCCTTGTTGCTTATCACTTCTTTACCACCGGTAACTATTGCCCTGATTTTGTGGTAATAATTCCCTAGATTAACCAGGTCAGTTTGGTTTTTAACAATTATACATGCTTTATTTTGAAGGTAAAGCATGAAAGTTTTACTTTCATCTGTATATCTGGAAAAAAAATATTTAGTTTTCTTGCTTTTGAACATTTAAAAATCAATCATACTATATTCTTTAAAAAAAGAAATCAAGAGGAGAAAGTCATGATGGGTGAATTGACCTTTTTAATTCAAAGATACAGTATAAAAGGACCAACTCATTTTGAACAGCTTTTTCATTAGCCAGATAAAGATTGTCATCATGATGCAGTGATCACATATTTGAGAGTTGGTAATTTGCATAATTAACATAAGATTTCTCCTAAATTCCACAAGAAGAATCTTTTAAAAATAGTTTTTAAAAACTCCATTTTATTTTTTTATCTGCACAAGTTATATCATTCAAGTAAGGGATCCCATGCACACATTCTATTAATTAAATATCATTTATTTAACATTTGTGCTAAAGTAATTTCTATCTTCAAGGAGCTTACTTACTCTCTAGTAGGGGGAATAAGACAAAGAAAGTGAATAAGCATTTCAGCAGAGTTTAAGATAATAATAGAAAAGCTATAAGAAGGTATGACCAAATTAAAAAAAAACTGTGGCAGTAGTTTAGAAACATTCTTCATGTTATAGTGAGCCCCAAGCCCAACTGACCCTTGCTCACCGTTTCAGTTTAGGCCTTGGCATCTCCTGTCTAGATTACAACCATCAGCTCCTGACTAGTTGATCTTTCCTCAACATATTACCATGTGAATTTATCCTTTATGCCCCCACTAAACAAATCAGCCCTATACAAAAATGTGCAATGGCTGTCCCAGGTCTCTAGGATAAAGTCAAGGCCCTTTATGTCTGCTGTATGTTAGAGAATGGGTTGTTCTTATTTAGTGGTGCCTCCAGCATAGGGAATTATCTTCCTTTTAAACATTCCATAATTATACCCTCTCTGGCAATTTTTTAATCATTCTGAGTATTAGGTTTTTATTATTACTTATTCATTTATTTATTTTTATTAAGGTGTCATTGATAATACACTCTTATGAAGGTTTCACATGAAAAACAAGTGGTTACTATACATTCCCTCATATTGAGTCCCACCCATAAACTCCACTGAAGTCATTGTCCATCAGTGTAGTAAGATGCCACAGTCACTATTTATCTTCTCTTTCCAACACCTGTCTTCCCAGTGACCTCCCCCACACCATGTGTACTAATCATAATACCCCCAATCCCTTTCTCCCTTCCTCCCCACCCACCCTCTCCCACCCCTCCCCCTCAGTAACCACTAGTCCCTTCTTGGAGTCTGTGATTTTGCCGCTGTTTTGTTCCTTCAGTTTTTCTTCATAGTTATGAGTATTAGGTTTTTAGAACAAATGTATCATTAATAGCTAGAGTCTGTTAGAGTCCAATATAAATTAACAAAACATAATCAGGAGTGGGTATTACTGCTACAGTTTTCTATATTTTCTGAAATTGGTCTGTTAAACCATTACGTAAGCAATTTTCTTCTAGTTGTCAAGTAGCATTCTCCTAATGGAGCTCATTTTTCTGCCAGCTTCTTTCACTAGATGGTGCTAATTCCATTTAGTAAGCTAGGCTATTTTCAGAAGCCTGGCTTAAAATGATTTCTTTGGAAAGAAAAATGGTTTAGCAGTTTGGGGATTTGTAATTTCTATAAGTTCAGGGGAGAATTTAAAGAAAGCAAAGTATTTTAATGTCTTTAGCTAAATTAGGACGGCAGGCTGACCATGCTGTGACTGAAAGAACAGCTATTTATCATGTGCAAGAGTTTCTTATTTGTATAGCATCATTCGTCACAGCATTAACTTTGAATTTACAGTTAAGAAACTACTTTTTATTGCATTTAAAAAGAATAACCCAAATTTGTATGTGTTTGTGTTTATTATATATATAATTTGTAACTGCTGTTGTTACTGTTTATTTAGGCAGTAGCTCATTTTTAGTTTTTCAGTTAAATCTGTAAGTTTTTATGTTAGTTTAACATATGCTATTACAAATGCCTAAGTAATCATTAGAATAAATAAAGAATATGGGGTCACTAATTAGTGTATCTATATTAGTGTAGGACACACACTATATGACACCTGAATGTACATGGGTTTTCATGTTGTAGGTAGGCGTAGTTTATAAATAATACCTATGTATAAGTTAATTGTTCATAGTTGTACAGTAGGCTAGCATTAACATTTACAAATCATTACCATTTCTTGGTAATAGTGTATAGAGCCAAAAGTATCTGAATTAGATTCCTAAATTCAAGTCTTATCCTAGTTTATTAATTTAGTATTTTGGACAAGTCCATTTGATCATTTAATCACTCATTCCACCTTATTATTAAACATTTTTATTCAATAGGAGTTATACCAAGCTATGAAAATATAGCCAAATTAACGCCCATACCTTCCACTCATAGTGAGAAATAAAGACACACAGCTAATTACAGTAAAGTGTGATAAATGTTATGATGAGGAAGAGCCATGACTTCACAAAAGACCACCTCTCACCCATGCTTGGATGGTATTGTGCTTCTCCTTTGTAGTGCTTCCTGTAGTTGTTATTAATTTGTCAACTTCAGTTTTTTGTTTGTGTCTTTCTGTCCAACCGAATGCTAAGCCGTGTAAGTGCAAGGACTGTGTCTGTTTTGTTCACCCCAGCACCTGTGGAGTCCTTTGTTTCTAGATAGACTCATAAATATTTATTGGAATAAATGAAAGCTAGGCACACCTTACGGAGAAAGTGCTATTTGAGTAGATACCTAAAGGATGAATAATAGCAAGGCAGGCAAAGTAAAGGGATTGTCAGCGAAGAATGTCCGGCAGAGAGAAGAGGTCTCTTCCCTGCATGCCTGGAGCTAAGACAGTACTCACTGGGCAGAAGGAGCACTGGACTTCCCGCTAACCTTCATTTTCCTCATCTTTCAGGAAAGGCAAAATAATATCTAACTCAGACATGTGAAGAATTAAATAAAATTAATTTATAGAGTATATAATTTAGTGCTTTATAAACTAATATGGCCCAAGGCTAGAGAATTTGGTTCTTGAAATAAAAAACAGTCTTCAGAGAGGATAATTTCTCTAATTTATGTAGAATCTGGGCTTATCACTCTGAATTGCCTCCCTGTGCTTTAGCAGAAAAATGTCTTTATGCAGTACTCAGGAAGAAGGATAGCTGATATTTTATTTTAAAAACTTCCCCAAACCATTTCATCTATATTATATTTTCTTGGCAGTGCTCTTATCTGGTTAAGGTTTTAAACTTTTTAACCACTAAATCTTTCTCTTGGAGAAATCAGTATGGGCCAGACCACATGGAGTATCATGTTCAGTTCTGGGCATTGTGATTTAACAGGAATACTGAAGAACCAAAATTGGTATAGAAGACTATTGTCAGTATAGTGAAAGATCTAGAAGCTGTGTTCTATAGGGTATGATCGAAGGAAAGAGGAATATTGAGTTTAAAGAAAAATAAAAGACGAATATGGGAATTCCATTTTTGTCCCAATTTGTCGCTTCCTTGTAATAGAATTTGTACATCTGGACCCTTGCATAGCCTCATGGTGGCCAGAATGTACTTCCCTGCCCCTGACTTTGAGCTCAGTCATCATGTGACTTGAATTGGCCAATTAGTGGATGTGCTATAAGTATAAGAGGGTCTGCCCTCCAGGGCTCTGGTCATGCCTTGAGGATATGCCCCACATAGTTAATGCCTACATAGCCTGGACCCCAGAATGAACACATGCAGAGCAGACTTAGGCCCAACCTGCAGTGAGGAGCCAAATCCAGCTGTACCAGCAGCCTGCAGAGCTGCCTCGCTGAACCCAGCCATAATCAGCCAAACCCCTGGACCAGTGAGCGTTAGAATAAATCCTTGTAACACAGTGAGTTTCTTTTTTCATCTGTTCACTCTTTTCCCACAATATTTTAAGTATAATCTCTATAATGCATCAGTTTGTTAAATGTTCAGACTTTAAATGAAAGCTCTTCATAAGCAAGACTGTCTCAAGAAACTACATTACCAATTCCAAAGTGATAGAGAATGTATAACATCCATTAATGATATAGATAAAATTATCAACAATGGGGCTTAATCTGCAATTCTTATCCTTTTATGAATTTATTAGAGTCTTACTTTCTCATAAGTTATCACAACTAACTAGCATTGCTTATAATGTAAGGATACTCCATATGTTGTAATATGTTACCAATTTTGTCATCAAATGTGTATTTTCATCAGATATATTCATATATATGTTTTCATTTTATCAATAGTATAATAGTCTTTCCTCAAGCTGTTCAAATAACCAAGAATGGAAAATTACACTTTGGGAATGTCACTAAACCTTAGCCTATTGTAGACAAGCAGCCTCTGATACATTGTCAA